CGCGAAGCGTCGATTTTTCAACTTCTTGCTGAACGGCACGTACGCCCGGCAATTCTGCGAAGAACCTTATCTCTACTTCGCGCTATACCTCGTTAACGGCAAATAAAATTTAAAAAGAAATTTACATCGAAAAAAATTCTAGGAATAAAATAAAAACAGAACACTTCTAAGAAATTGAACCAAAACTATAACATGAAATTTACGCAATCCTGTGTCTCAAATTATTAATAACCCCCCCGGTTAATTAATTGAACTAAACAAAATTGTCACATCCAGACGCTCTATAATTTCTTTCAAGTTACAACTAAAACAAAATAACACAACATTTTCCCCCTTTAAATTGAACACAAAAACACAAAATTACAATCCTCCCCTGACTATGAAAACAAAACAAAATATTGGAATTACAGGGTTTTTTTTTTCAATTTACCAATTAACTTTAAAAAAACTTCGGGACCTGCTTTAGGTATTCGGACACGATCGCCTAACACAGCTCCCTAGTCATTACTGAAACCCCGCACGGTGACGTCACCAGCTGAGCCTGAGAAATTTCATCATCCTAGTATAAAAATTTAAGAACTACCACTAACATACTGTAACTCTACAACCCTTAGCTAACTATTCAAATGCCGGATAGATCGAACCATCTTCGGCGTTGTTTCAACCTAGGTCCGACCTATTCCAGCAGTAAACCTAACCTATCATCCCTAATCTAATCTTAATCAAAGTCGAAAATCTCGCACTGTACTGTCAACCAAATACGCCTGGGAACCATCCCTATCATTCCTAATCTTTTTCCTAAACTTTTTCCATTCTCGCTTTTCTTTTCCTCCCCCCTTTTCTAAATTAATCCAGGGCTTCTCTATAAAAATCCCACACATAACATAATCTCTTAATTCTTCAATTACAACAATCCGTTTACCCTTTTCACTCATAATTAAATTATTCAAATAATCAATGCCTACTACTTCCAAAAACTCACTACTCCTAACTCTTTTAATCTTATCCTGCTTCCTACAATCCTCATCCTGCTCAAAGCTACACAAATTCCCTTCATTCTCAATCGATAATTCCAATTCTAAGTCTCCTACTACCCTATCATCATAAAAATTCCTCCAAAAATCCTGAAAATAATTCTCCCTTATCTGGTTATCTAAAATCTCATAATTAGTTCCTATCTCCTTCCCGCCTATTCCTTTCCTCGATAAAACGTCCACACATAAATTATTATTCCTTTTTAAACTATTACTCCCTTTCACATACTTAATCTCAAACAAATTCGCCTGTAAATTTCTACCCCTACAATAAATCTTATTATCCACAAAACTCTTCGCTATTAAATAATTCAAATCCCTATTCTCATCTTCTATTTCAAACTTCCTATAATTCACGCAATACAACTTCACCTTCCATTCTGGTTCCCTACCAGTTCCTGCAATAAAATAACTACCTACTTCAACCCTATTTTCAACTAAAATCCCTTCATCTTCTTTCTCTTGTACGACTTCTTCATCTTGCCTATGAACTTTTTCAATCTCGACTTCTTCCTTAACTTCAACTTCTTCTTTAATTTCCATCTCATTTGATCGCTTCTTTCTCATTAATTCTATTTCTTGTCTGATTTCTTCCTTTAATTCCGCTTTTAATTCCGCATTTAATTCCGCATTCTGCGCTTTCATTTCATCCATTTTTTCCCCCAATTCCTTCTTCAACTCTCTTATCGCTTCTATAAACACCGCAAAATTCGCTGCCTGAATAGATGACACTCCCATCGTGAACAACTCTTCTTTCTTCTCGTCTTGAATAAAAATCACGTTCAAAAAAAAAATCCTAACACTAATTCTAACACTACCTACCCCGTAACTAATCCTATCCTAAACATCCTAATCTAATTTAAATTGCAAAAACACCCTACCAAATTCTTCCTGTCACATTTTAACAAGTTCCTACGCCTACGCATCCTACAAATTCCTATAACAATTAACCTCCACAATGTACACCTCTTTTCCCTGAAAAATGACATGTCTGGGTACCAAAATAACTTTTTACCCGAACGACAAAACAACCCTAATCTGAATTTACCTACAAAAATTTTTACCTACTTTTGCGTTTCCCTGAAATTGCCTCACGTTTTTGGGCGCCAAATTATTGTTGTGAGACCTAACCTTAACTTCTGGAAATCCCACGATTTACCTCTAGCTAGCTCAATAGTAAAAAAAAATGAAAACAAAATTTTTATCTGTATCTCAAGGTCCAGCTGGATTCTGCCACCCTACAGCATTCCAACAATGACATAAATCGGTGGCTTACCCAAATCCTTAAATTCCAATATGAAACTTTACCCCCAATTTAAACAACTTGAAACAAAGTAAGAGACGCCGACAATTACCTCTCCTTGACTCTAATAAACAAAACCTGGATTGCAATGACTGGTTTAATTTCAAACAAAAAATTGCTGTTTTACAAATTGTTACAATTTTAAACAAATAAATGACACACACAAAAAAAAAAACAAATTACTCAAACATTACAAAAAAAACAAGACAAAACAAACCACTAACTACTACTTACTTTTAAAATTAGTCCGAAATAACGTATTCCGATAAAAAGAGGTATCCGTACACAATCACGTAAACCAACCACTCAAACACCGACGTCTTCTCTCTTCGGGTACCCACGAATTCAAAACTTCCGTGTTTCCGCAAAAATAAAAAAAAAACAGGACGGCGACAAACTTCTTAAACTTCTCAATAATTCTTCTTAAAACGGCAGACAAAAATTCTAATTAAACCTGGATCCACTACGCAAGAAACTTCCACAAAATTCAAAAAAATAACGTAACCGAAGAAGCGCCGGTTGGCTTTGTAACGACCAAAAAGCCCCGCTCTCTTCCAAAATTTTCTATTTAAGCCAAAAGCCCTTCTCCTTTCTTCCACACCCCGTCCGCCAATCACGCAAAGCGTCGATTTTTCAACTTCTTGCTAAACGGCACGTACGCCCGGCAATTCTGCGAAGAACCTTATCTCTACTTCGCGCTATACCTCGTTAACGGCAAATAAAATTTAAAAAGAAATTTACATCGAAAAAAATTCTAGGAAAAAAAATAAAAACAGAACACTTCTAAGAAATTGAACCAAAACTATAACATGAAATTTACGCAATTTTTTGTTTCAAATTATTAATAACCCCCCCGGTTAATTAATTGAACTAAACAAAATTGTCACATCCAGACGCTCTATAATTTCTTTCAAGTTACAACTAAAACAAAATAACACAAATATATATATATATATATATATATATATATATATATATATATAGTAAAAATCACTTCGAATGCCAACTTTCTTATTTATGAAGATATTTTAAAGTTGCTCGCTGAAAACATTTTTATTTTTTCTATCTTAGGTAAGCTACAAGCATTAGTATTCCACATGCTATCTTCGAAAAGGCCACCACCATCGTATCCTCTCCTAATAGCATGATTCCTGTTACAACACTCATAATAGGTCCCACAATTATAACCCGATCTTCTTTAAATTCGTGTGCTCTACCGAACGTATATGCAAATACGTACGCAAGCATCAAAGATAAGAGCCAGTAAGTAGGAAGGATCAACGTTAATTGTACAGACCATTCGAGAAAGTAGTGGTAGACTATCAAACTCTCAATCAGAAACAGTATCTGTAAGTATAAACGGTAAGATATCATGTAAGAATATTTACGATTGCTTACGTATCCTAGAATTTTTAAGCAAACTTGTGGTGACATTATATGATGACTCTGAACTACTAACAAAATGCATTTATTTCGCATACTTGATTCAAAAATACATTTTGGGGCTTTGATTTGATTGGTTCACTTGGGCAGAACGCACTTTCAATTTAAGTCAGATGAACTTCATTGCCAATACATGATCTTCAGACAAGTTTGTACGTTAAAGAATAGAAAAGCGGCAACTACGAATATACCAACTTCAAAATCTTCTGGAAGTCATTTCTTCCCGAATTTCTGAAGCAACAGGAGGCTTCTGACGAGAGGAACCGGCAAACAATGTGACATCCTGAACTTCTTACCATGCAAATGCCAAGAAGGGTGTAACTCTGCAACCAAACTGCTAGTCTAAAAATTAGGAGGTTATTCGAGCACAGGGCTTCTGTCGGATCACGTACAAAAAATCCAATGGGTTTAATTCACTTTTTCAATTAAAGATTGTAAGCCCAAAAAAAAAGCAATCTAGGTTACCTCTAATGTCAAGTTTTGAAATATTTTTCGGTTTTTCAGGCACCAAACATAGCTTGAATTTTCAGGCTTTGAATGTCCAACATGAATAATGGGAAGCTACTTTTAAGAGATGGATAGAAACAAGTTGTGGATGAAAGGAATCAGTAGATATGAGTAGAAATGAGATGGATTTGTTAAATAAATGTTTGCAATGTGATTCAAAAATGTAAAAAAAACGAGTACAATCGCAGAATGACTGCAAACGTTACAAGTAAAAAAGAAACTCAAAATCCAAATTTCAATTCAAAAGTAATTTTACAAGAAGGGATCAACTCGTAATCAGAAGATGATGATTGAAACAAAAAAATATATTAATTACAATTGGGCTGTATCGAAACCACTTATGAACAAACGGAATACGAGGAAATTAAAATATTGTCTTTGAATCCTAGCCCCGGCCGTCTGAATTCAGAAGGGCGCTCTCCGCCAATAATCTGCAATCAGATAAAAACACAAAGCAAAGAAAAGGGAGTGATAGCGCATTATAACCACACTGTCTGTACCGAAATTTACATTCAGATGACCTCTAGCGGAAGAACAAGAAACTATGAAATAAACACTTCACTAAAACAAACAAACAATAAAATATAGGGTCATTCCAACTCCTAGCAAAATATTCTCTCCCCAAAAAGGATGTACCTGTCAGTGGTGGCGTAATATTTAAAACCACTGCGGATCCAGGACTATGGCCTTCGACGTTCAGCATCGGCCATCAATTAGAGTAAAAAAAAAACATTTATTCGCAATGGTTGCATACAAAAAATAATATTAAATAATCGTTCACATAAGACCATTAGATAGACCCACTAAAAGGTTGATACGTAATCCTAGGCACGTAACCCGATTCTCCATTTACGAAATACTCCACCGTCTGTAAACGTCCATCTGGTAGAACGGTATAGTAAGAACCGGCAACGTTTCCAGCTGGATCACCATTTTCGCTTTGACCGAAGAACGTGTTCGTCGGCGGATTTTCGACTTTATATTGAAAATCGTACTAAAAGAGATTAAATTGATCAGTTGACTGCTAGTAAGAGGCCCAGACTCACCGGGGTGGGCACATCCGGGTCGATCTGCTGAGGTCGAGATGATGCAAGGGAGATGAGTGACATCGCGAGTAATAACATTTCAAATTTCGCCATAATCGACACCTAATAAGGTTAATTTGTATCATTCTCATGCGAACGGCGTCGTTCCCATCTCGTGCAGTTAAAGGCGCATTATATAATTGGTAATTAATTTATTTAGATCATGCAAATTTTTAGTAAGAATGCTCACCTAATACTTCACTCAACCACTCCAACAGTTGTGCGCCATTGAGCCTTACGTCGTTCGTCTTTATACATCTTCAACTCCCAAGGGGTAGGATTACCAAGGACACTTGCCTTGAGATCCCCGTACTCAATACTAATTTACATTTCAGTCATAAAAATAGAGAGAAAGCCGATCTTTGCTATTATATAATTAAACTAATTTAATTATTTGAAATATTTACCATTTTTAGATTCATAAATGCATTGTTGTTAGTACAATAGGAACCATTTATGTAATTTACGTATTTTTAGCATAAGAATTATTTTTCCGTCTTTTGAGTCTTGTAGTTTCCGTATCGTTGGAGCAATTGAAGGACAGAAATGTAAACTGGGCTATTTTTAAATTTTGTTAAGAAAACTCTAATACACTTTGTATATGGTTCAGTTATTTTTATTTGCATATTACGCGTTAATGAGACCTTGTTTGTCTAATACATACATCGTAATTTTGAAAAAAAATATGCTTCTCTCCTGCCTTCTTCAGTAGGTATACAAATTGAATAATCGTGTTCTAGTGGCAGCAGGAAGTGCTAAGGTTAAAATATAATAGATATTTTTACCTAGACTAGATTGCTAAACCAATGGTATCATCCCCTTCAAATATTGCACGAACTTAAATATTAATTGCCTATTGTTGCAGTCAAGTAAAAAAACTGGAATTTCACATAATTGCGTGATTTTGAAAGGAACTACTCTTGTTTCACTGTTGCAATTGTGGGATTAGAATTTGTAATTGTGTAAATACCCATGTCTACACCTTGTTCAATATAAATTCTGTGGCAGATTTTCGACAGTTTATAAAATGTCATACGAATTTAAAGTCTGTTTTTGTTAATTTCGAAAGATATTTAAAGACTTTTAATGGTGGAGCTGCCAAAAGTTTTTCTCTCTTATTGAAAGAGGTTTTCCTATTCATTTAAGGGTTGTAAACTATTACATGAACATGTGGATTCTGAATAAAAAATTGCAAATTTCTTATAAATTTCTTTTTAATATCCCGCCAATGACAAAAATACAGAATTACTTATGGTAGAACTTATTTCTGAAAATTATATTCAACTTTTGGATAATTAATTGAACAATTTGCTTACCAAATCAAACACTAAACTACCGTAACGTTTTAAATATATTGATTTTAAAAATGTACTATGCTCTCTTTTTCCAGTCATATTTCCTTTTTACAAATTTTCTTAGGAAATTCTAAATAATTATATCGCAAAAGAAAAACTGGGCCAAAATATTTTGAATGAAATATCCCTAGTTTACCTTATAATTGAATCCACAAAAAAAAATGCACCATGATGTTCGTTTTTACAGAGAAATATTTATTTTATACCTAAACCGAGTGGACACATGAATTTGGATAATATTCTCTATTGAACGTTTGACTATAATTCAATTTCAGCTGACAATTCTACTTTTATTTATTTATTTATTTATTTATTTATTTATTTATTATTCCTCTCTTGTTCTGGGCCCTCAACAGGCTTGCACCGAATTACGCTGGCGAGCATTGAGTTGTATTGCAAAGTGAAACCGCTTGCGAGCTCCGAGCACCCCTAAAAGTGCTCGAGCGGTTTATCGCGAGCGCTCGGGAAAAGTGCTCGTGAGCGGAAAAAGCGCTCGAGAGCGCAAAAAAACCGCTCGGTAGAGGAAAAAAAGCGCGCGAGCGGCGCTTAATCCTTCAGCGCTTGAGGGCGGTTAAAAGCGCTCACGAGCGAAAAATGAGCTTGCGAGCGGAAAAAAACGCTCATTGGCGGAAAAACCGCTCGCGGGTAGAAAAAAGCGCTCGAGCGCCGAGCACTTAAGTAAACGCTCCGAAAAGTGCTCGCGATCGGATTGCTCATACCTCCTTCAGTAAATGTAGGTTTTATAGCCAAAAGGACATTTCCTATTTTCCAATCGTTTCTAGAAGCTGTCAGAACCATCGGCGGTAACACTGATACAAAATTTCATCGAAATCGGTCTGTCCCTTACAAAGTTATACGTAATTCAAATAATATCAATTTTATTGATAAAAAGGCTGCCATTTTCGAATCGCTTCAAAAAGCTTTTCATGTTTCAAATTTCAAGCAAATCAGCCAGTTTCGGAATTGTTAATATACGACGACGCCTGTACTTCAGACCCATAGCAAGGGGGTGGCCAGGTAGGGCTGAGTACCACCTAGAACGTGGTCTTGCCACCACTTGAAATTACAGTTGATGGTTCCTCTACAAAAATTACAGGGAAAGTCTTCATAAAAAACTTCTTAAGCCCCACTTGTAAAAATGCCTGCCACCCCTGCTACTTCATTCTGGCTACGGACCTGCTATACTTAACAAAAAATTCCGTGGTTAGCACAGATACTACCCGCAGACCTGCGCAGGCGCGATTTTATCCCTGTAGGTCTAAGAATATTTGTACGAAATTTGGTTCCAATTGATTCAGTCTTTTAGCCGGAAATGAGAGTCAGAGAGACAGACCGATCGACATCATTTTGTTTGATTCGGATTCATGGTGCTTCAAAACATGTATTCCCATCAAAAAGTGGGAGGTCGTTTTTTACCCCAATGCAATACCTCCCTGACTAACGTGCGGGTAGTAAAAAAACGTATCAAACCGAGGCCTACGATACACGTTATCTGCCAAAAAACGTTACCTACTTTGTGTTATTTAGTATGGGCAAAATAACGTTTTCTACAGATAACCTGCACATTTAACGTTAGTGACCACAGGGCTAATTTTATACAAGGTGTTCATTTGAATACTTCCCACCACGTATTTATCGAAAATCATTGATTACAGGAAAAAATACTTGTTGAGGGGAACAACTTTTTAACCAAAATCAACTTCACCCCCTGTCACCCTCTGCACCCCAGGGCCATTCCCTTAAAAGTTTCAAATGGCAAGTGGTATCGAGTAATAGCTTGTTTGAAAGGTCTTTCAAAGTCCTTTATTTTGATATTTGATTTTTTTAAATCGGTTGATTCGTATTCGTGAAAATTAGGATAGGTAAAGTTAAGGATGGGAACGGTAGGAACGGCGTTAGGCTGCAGAGAGGGAAGAGTACCTACTGCTCCAGCATTCGCCTCGTAGATTTCAACATAATGCTATAATGCAAAGCTGCGTGCGCCTGAGGAAACCCCTCTGACAGAATTCCAGACAGATAACAGTCGGCAGGGGTTTCGAACCGACAACCTCCCGAATAGCAGTCGACAATGCAACCAGTGCGCCACCGGCTTCAGTGCCTTCTTGTAGTTTGGGGTTCCATATTTATACACCGCTCGAAATAGCGCTCCAAGCGGAAAAAGCACTTTTCGGAGCTGCGCTTGGTGCTCGATACTCGAGCGTTTACTTAAAGTGCTCGGCGCTCGAGCGCTTTTTTTTCTGCCCACGAGCGGTTTTTCCGCTCATGAGCGTTTTTTTCCGGTCACAAGCTGTTTTTCCGCACGTGAGCTCTTTTTCCGCCCGCGAGTGCTTTTTCCACTCGCGAGCTTTTTTTCCTCTGCCGAGCGCTTTAACGGCGCCTGAGCGTTTTTTTCGCTCGTGAGCGCTTTTAACCGCCATCAAGCGCTGATGGATTAAGCGCCGCTCGCGAGCGTTTTTTTCCAACAACTCGATGCTCGCGAGCATTTTTGAGACAATTAGATATCGCTCGTCGCTCGAGCGGTTTTTTAGAACGGGGTTACAGGCGGCGCCGAATCGACTATGATAACAAACCCTGTTACTCGGCAGATGCCGGCGAAACTATTGGACGGCAAATCCGAGGTTGGAAATGTATACTACAAATTTATTTACACACCTTTATTTATTTATTTATGGTTCAGTGATAGAGCATTGAACCATAAATCCGGAGGTCGGGTGTTCAAACCTGGGTTGAGGTGAATTTTTCAGCTGTGGCAGAGATCGAAATTACCTTAGACCAGTTTCGAGCATTCTGTCGGCTACTCCGAATTAGGTTTTCCTGCAGTTTTCCTAATTCGTAAGGTAAATACCGGAGTAGTATAGAACAACTGAAGACCTTCTGCAGAGGAACCTCTAAAAAGTATTATGCGGGTCACTCAGTAATTGGGCGCAAGCCTGTTGAGGGCCCAGAACAAGAGAGGGATAATAAATAAATAAATAGATAAATAATATACGAAATATATACAGGATGCCCCACGTGTGGATGGCGCCGACCCTGACTAACGGGGTTCACTCAGAGTCGGGAATTGACGGTGTGCAGTGGCGACGTCTTGAGCCTGAACCACAGTACCTGATCCCTTCTTTAGCAACTCTAGCCATGGGCTTCTATACTGCTTATTGTTTTTGATTATTCTTCATTTTGTTATTCTTATTATAGCATCCTCCTGGGGCGCTTTTTATTGTGTTCTTGGGTCGCCATCGGAAACGATGTTATTGTTCCTCCTTACGGAGATGCGTTTGCTCTTGGAGCGATGCTTTTTCCACCTCCAGTCACCATTTAGTTTTATAGGCACGGATGACGGAATCCATCTGATAGTGTCACATATGCTGGCACGGTTGGTGAGACTGGAGTGAGTACATTTAGTTTCCTTATTTCCTGGGCCGCTGCTTCTTAGTTTTTTGCTGGGAATCTTCAGGGCCTGTTGGATATCTTGGTTCCTTACGAACAGTAGTCCGCAACGCGATGGAGTGTACCACTTCCGACTTGCTCACGTTTCTCTTGTACGCCTTCCAACCTGCAGATGAGTACGTCATGATCGTTAGAACGTAGGTTTTGTACATCGCCACCTTGGTTTTCTGCATTAGCGCGTTGCTGTTCAGCTGAGGGTAATAGTCGGGCTCATCTTGTCCGGGCTTTCACTACAGTCTCCTCGACGTGTTTGGTAAATGACAGCCTGCGGTCTATGTTGACACCGAGGTATCGGATATATGGAGTCGGCCCTTTCAATATATCCTGCCCGGCGGCGATGCGAAACTTCTTTACTCGGTGGACCTGTTTATTCGTGTTGGGCTCCTGATTCGACTACCCTGATTGGGCAGCATGATCAACATTGCCCGCTTCCATACTGATGGATAATCGCTGTCTCGTAAAACCATCGCCGAATCAAAAATCCGTGTGATGTAGGCCAGGACTACTCTGGTTATGTTTTACAGCGCTCTGTATGTGATATTCTGCCTCCTGGGCGTGTTGCCTTGGTGAATGTTCCTAAAATCCGCTACACATGTGACATGGCCCGTTTCCCCAACCGTTCCTTCTACAAACTGGTTCCACATGGGTTTCTGATGGTAGTTGGCTATGGCAATTTTTAGGGCGGCTTGCTTGGCGTTGACCTGTCGGCTTAGCTCGGGAGCTCTGGTCCGTCACCATCTTCGTATATACCGTCGCTCGACTTTTATCTCCTCGAGGAGGTATCTCAGAAGTTTCCTTCCTTTCCTGGTAGGGTGTTCTCTGGTGGACGCGGTCATCGCATTTTGGTATGCTCATTAATTTTTTTCCAATTCGTCGTTCTCTTAGTTTGCGGACCATGTTAGCCGATCGTTCCAACAGTTTTTAAGCGTTCTCGCGTGGTGGACGAAGTTAGGGAACTCCGGCACCTGTATCGGCGGGGTTAGCGACGAGGGTACCTACAGTGGCCGAAAGCAGCGGCGTTTTTTGTTGAGCGATGTGGTGGTGGTGGTGCTAGTTATTGCCGCAGTTACGCAGTACGATCGGGCTGCGTGTATCGGGACGCTCGTGGTTGGTGTCCCGCTGTTGGTCAGCGCCATCGTTGGTGTTGTAAAATCTGCTGCTAATTCTGATATGATTGCTGCGCTTCTGCTTCTGCGGATATGGGTGTAGTGATGTTAATGCCCTACATATGTCGCCCTCAATGCCCAAATGCATGATGTTCTTAAAAGAACAATTCCCTTGCAGTTGAATGTGGTTTAAGCATTTGCCTTACATGATTGTTCCACCTCAACCCCATTTACTAATATGTGTTCTCTTACAGCATAGGCGATATATTTAAGAAAATAAGAACCAATTCAATTTTAATAGATTATTGACTTGTTGACCCTTTACCCTTTCCTTGAGAGGGATATTAACTGAAGGGTAGTCGAGGCACATCAATATATTATATAACAAGAACCACACCCAATTTATTTGACCAAAAGTAGAAGTAAATTAACTAATATTTCAAAAAATGTTTTACTAATTTCTGTTTACTAAAAATGTGTTCACAAACACTTTGTGGGCGACGGTAAAGAGCAAATAAAAGAGTTGGTTGCAAAGAATCATTTATTTCATAAAAATCACACTTGCACCATATTGTACACCTGCTGTCACAAGATAAAAAATGTTCAAACTTTCTTAACAATTTGCACGACATCCTCATCTGCCAATAAATGGTCTTTGCCAACTTTCTGAGGCTGATGTTTAACGGACGAACCCCAAATGAGCGCACTGAAACACAACACGATACTGGCATGTAATTTCACTTGACATACTCACTATTTAAATTCCTTGGCGATGCTTTTATGGAGCTTATTACAGAAGTCTTCTACGGACGTATGGTCAGAGTGCAGGACTATTGGGGAATTGTAATCGGGCAGTTGTCCTTTTGGTTTCGTGTAGCTGCAGAAGACGATACCATGATGTGACAGTTACAAGTAGATAAATACTCACATCCTCACGAGTTTTAGGTAGGTCCACATCTTTTCCAGAAGGTCATCGAAGTTCCACTTGTGGTGTGCAGAAATGGGAACGCAATGTGGAATTTTGTAAATAACATCTAATTCTTCTATACTAATTTGATCTAGAATTATTATTACAATTACTGTTTCATACACATCTAAATTTACCAATTTTGTTTAATAAATAAATGCAGGGCATGTACACTCGGTTTCCCTCCACAATATCGATAAGGTCATCACTGGTGGCATCATATTTCAATGTAATATCCGCATTATGAATCTTGTACTCTGACAAAATCGTTTTTACGGTATCTAAATCAAGTTCAGACTGGGGTACCATAATGTTCAAGTTAATTCCACCTTTCTCTTTCTTTCTAAAGGTAATATTAGGTGGCTGTTTGTTCAGCCGTAAACCAAACCCTTCCAATTCGTGCTCGATTAATTGCTTATGCTGTAGGGGTTTCAAAACGTCAAGAACAATAAAAATTAGTCCACAAGTACGGGCAACCGCAATTACTTGTCGACCTCTACCCTTACCGTCCTTCGCCCCCTCGATGATTCCGGGTAGATCCAGTAACTAAAAGCATTACCAATGATACCACGCACTGACTTTGCCCAATGTAATTACCTGTATTTTGGCACCCTTGTACTTGATACAACCCGGAACGGTCGTAAGAGTTGTAAACTCATAAGCAGCAACCTCAGAATACACACCGGCCAGATTACTTAACAAGGTCGACTTCCCGACAGAAGGAAACCCAACGAATCCTATTCTCGCATCGCCGGTTTTGGCTACATCGAAACCTTCACCGGTACCGCCCCCACCACCCTTCGGTGTGATCAACTCTCGTCGCAATTTCGCCAATCGCGCCTTGAGTAAGCCCAAATGTCCTGCGGTTGCTTTGTTTTTTTGAGTTCTTGCCATCTAAAGACATTTTTAGGTTAGAAAACGTACCGGTGTTATTCTTGGGCAATTACCTACCTCTGCTTCAATGGCAGAAATTTTCTCTACAATTGTGCCCATTTTTCACTGATTTTTATGGCTTACGGTACTTAAATGAGTAAAATTATGGTGTTTTATGCAAAACACATGGATCAGAAGTTTCCATTGGAAAGCAGTGATGCCAACCACAAAATTAAAAGGTTTGTTGCTTGGCTAAAAGTTTTGTTTGTATACAGGATGTTCAAACCAAACTTGTATTATAGACAATCTGTCATTTGTCAAAAACAGTTCTTATGAATACTACATTTACAGTGAAAGTGTAGTGAATAAATGTTTTTCACAGACCGTCATGGCCCTGTGCTGATTATTTTATTCCATTTCTTTTTGTTCCTTGCCTTGCTTTTCCATTCAAATTCTTCTCATATCTTGTTTCCATCGGATCCCTCATGTGCTTTATCCCTAGAGTTAAGCAACGCACCTTTACGTCTGAAACAAAAATACGATACGCTCTGATGTATACATCAATTGTAGTACGTTTTCGATTATTTTTGAAATGCATTCACGTGTAAATGGATTATCAATATGATGTCGTCATGAACCATCTCCGAGGAAAAAAGAATCGCAAGCAATCGGATTTGTCACTGTATATGTTTCTTTTTCATCTCGAGCAAGCAGAACTTGCGTCTAGCAATGCGAGAAGGGGGGCTCTCTAAGTTAGGTGGGTCTGCTTGTAGTTTTGGCCACTAGACTTGTCAACCACTGTAGATCACGATTTCAATACTGGCTTCGAGGTACTCTTAAGATTATTACAGTATTGAGAAATTAAAGGCGCCATAACGTCGAATTTACGATGGAAATGGTAAAATTACAAGAAGAAAGTTTCTTTTCGCGCACAAGTTATCTTGGAAACATTCTTTTTGATGCGCAGCCCTGTATGTATATGAGTGCAGCCACCAAATGACGATTGGTATGGACGGTTGGCCCCCCTGTTAGTTCCAAGCACGAAATTGGCGGTTACAATTAACCTTTTTTTTATAAATAAAGTGATATATTTCTCAATTATTTAACTGGTGACCCAATTTATATATAATGAAGACCTCAGGCCCAAATAAAGTTGTAATCAAAATCGATTCCCAAGAAACGCAGGTAAAAATTCATTAATTGACAAATAAAATGTGAGGTTATGCTTGTATCTTCAGGAGATTGCCAAATCTTCCAGAACTAACTTAAAAGTTTTCCAAGAGGTTGCCAATAAAGAGAATCTCATCTCTCGTAAACGAATGGTTAAGGAGGTGAAATTGACAAAGTAAGTAGATATTCAGTTCTAGTGTCGATTACTTTACCAACTCTTTCGACAGCGAAGAGAAACCGAAGCAGGTAGCTCACAAAGCAGTACAAACCGGCGAAGCTGTAATAACAGCCGAAGACCTTACTTCCGATAACGAATCGAACGTTGACTACTGGCGCTTATTGGCAGAGAAGCGGGGTGAATCACTAAACGACAGTTTACAGGAGAATGAACGACTGAAAGACAAAATAGAATGCTTGGAGAATGAGAATAAGGTTTGTAAGGAGCTGTTGGAGGAATCTAAACATTTAGTCGCCGTATTACAAGTAAGAAGGACAATTTATGGGTACAATTCACTAATTTTAATTTTAAGGAAATGCTTGGGGATGATGAAGATGAACCTGAACACGAAACTGACAATTGTACTAACGATAAGTCCTAAATTAAGTCTGATTTTTAGTATGTAAATTATGAACCTATTAATCTTAATTCATGAAATTTTTTAATATATATTCATATTCACGAATTGTTTTTAGTTCATATGTGGTACGCATCTAATTGGGACTACTAAAAAATTTGCCTAGATCGCTTGCGAAGGGATGCTAATTTTCTACCTCCCCTTCTGCCAAGGACTGTAAATGTGCTACCCCTAACCATTTCTCCAAAGTCTGAAAGTATACTCATGATCATTTCTCTTACTTTAATTAATACGAAAAGAGATCTAAATGAAATACTTTAATACTTGTTATTCAACAATAAATAGAGTAGATAAACAGCAAATTTAGATTTACAATTCCACTTCACATTGTATTGAAATAACATCGCTTAATCTGATAATAGCGCGACCTTGTGGTAGAGGATGAGGTGTATTTAAATTTTCTACGACCATATTTTGAAAAGCCGGATCAAATGCGCGTATTTTACATTTGTACTCGTTCTTGTCGTACAATTTTAAACTGCATTGTTCTCCGCCTACAAAGGAAGTTGTGTAACAAAGATAACGAAGGAAACCTACATACTGCTCAAGGTTGATATTAAACGCAGAAATCGTTCGCGCAGATCCACCCTGGCCTGCCTAACTTCCTCGTCCATGGTTTATTTACTCTATTTTGCAATACTAAACACTAAATTGTCTCTAACGTAGCTAGCACTTTAGATGTTGAAACCCATGCTTCGCATGCACTCCTTGTGGGCCTGAATTAAATCTTGACAGTTCTCCTCACCGTTTTCGATGATGCTGTAAGCGAAGTGGATGAGTTTCGGGGGCGAAGAAGCGGAGTGACTTACCATGCATCACGCACTTTCTTCGTTTCCGGGCAGGCACAGCAAGGTTTCAATTTTTTCGGGGGTTCTGCTGGAGGCGCCGAAGACTTTGACGTAATTTCAGCCGACGCAGCTTCCACTTTTTCGCTTATGTTTCCCATGCGTGTTACGTAAGGTATTTTTAAAATACTACGATCTACGACTTTTCAAACGCTCAAAATCGTAACTGTCATCTGTCATTTGTCAAATTAAATGGAATCCCCCCAAGGTCACTAAACAGTAGGTGGCAAGGTAAGTTGACAGTGGCGGTGTGTGAACTCTTCAGAAATGGGGTAATGAAATATATTTTAATACGAGATGACAACTTGTCCAAGAACTGGACTGGCGTGAAACATTATTATTAGAAAACTTCTCCTAGGGCTCTTCCGAGAGGCAAAGTTCTCAATAAGAGGTTTTGTCACATGTCACTCAATACTCATAGCTAAACCAAAAATCAATTAAGCCTGACACTTCAATATTGCAGCTCCTAAATAAAACGTTTCAAAATGCGAATAAAATCTCCTTGGACCATTTTAGATAAAATCATTGAATTTATAAATTCAATGATAAAATTTTGAATGATACATGCTCGAAATAAACGTTATCTGTAACTATTATGACGGGATGCCTGTCTGATAACGTTTACCCTATGCTGATAATAAAAAGTTGGTGATAGGGCCGATATCTCCGTTTGATTGGTCATGAAGAACAAATGTGCCGCCACTGGTTTTGTTATTTTTGTAAGCATGTGATGAAATTGAACGATAGATGGCGGCGTCGTCGTACAAAAAAAATTACGAAAGTTACACACCCCATCGCTGAGTGATCACGATAAAAGAAAATGGCTTCGTGTGGCATACACATGTCTTTTATCTGCCGTAACGTTCAAAGCAGGTGTTGATGGATACTAGAGTTAGTTTTAGTGGAAAAATAGAAAAGACGTTTATTTTATATTAAGACCATTACTAGCAGTTAAAATTACTTAATGTTACTTGATAGCAAGTAGGCTGTGATAATGGATAGTTCAACTGGCTTAGCTACCCAGAAAAATGGTGCAAATGCGGAGGAGAAGGCGACCGAAGTCACCTCGAACGAGGAGCAAATTGCAGAACCAGCTGTGACAATAAATGTGGCGCATCAAAATGATACAAACTCACAACATATGAATTCCAAGACTGAACCCAGTGTGGACGAATCCCGTATTCAAAACATAAGCAATAACGACGAGTTGTGTGATAATGTAAAGCAGTTAAATTTGGTCGAGGATGAGGCGGCATCGGTTCCGATTCGACCCTCAAATATATCAGAGTCCCTGTCTAATCTGTTGGCGTACGGAAGTTCATCCGAAGATTCCGAAATCGATTCAGCTAGCGAGTCTGATTCGGACGAGAAACACGAAGAGAACTATCGCGACCCGAAGGCGGATACTAGTGACTCGTCTGATAATGAAAGGTACATGTAGCTAATTGTGAAAAGGTACTAAGTTTCTTTGTAGTTCCGATTCCGAATCTGAAATAGCAGCCAAGGAAGTGAAGCAGCCGAGTAAACCTGTCACTCATATCGAAGGCGAGCTCGGTTTGAAAGATTTACCCCCAGTTCCGGACTTATCCACATTGAATATTGATCTCAAACAAACCGACTGCATTCAAATGGGGAACGTGACTAGTATCGTCGATAGTTTAGGTCAGTTCACTAAGCGTCCGTCGTGATTAAGATGACGTGTTTGGCTTTTAGTAACGATCCAGTCATTACCGAACGTGCCGGCGTACGACCTAGATACGCTCCTATTTCTGGATGAGGGCAGGCAACCGTTGGGCTACGTTCACGACGTCATGGGACAGGTGACTTCGCCTATGTACGTTGTTCGTTTTAATTCCAAGCAGGAGATTGAATCAAAGGGAATTTCCAAGGGTCTACCGGTTTATTCCGCCCCAAACACCGAGCATACTCAATACGTGTTTTTGAAAGAACTGATGAAGTGAGTAAATATCTACAAGACTTATTAACTTAGAATGTGATTTTTTTTTTAATTTTTGTTAATAAAATTTTCTTTTCTGGCATAAGAAATTCTGTGTAGCACGCTTTCCATTTTCCAAAGTTGTTTGGGACTTTTGAATAAGGTGCTCCACATTCGTAAGCCTTTTCTCAGATTTTCCTCATCATTTACAGATTTGATCTTACGACCATCCAATTTTCTCCAAATCTTGAGGCCTTTCTTCCAAATTCACAAATTTTGTTCCATAATTCCAGGATTTTTTCTTAAACTTGTAGGTATAAATATTTGCTAAAATTATACAGGGTGTCCCACTATCTATATCTCGAAAGAGGTACTCATCTAAAATATTTTCAAGCTGGTGGCATTTTCAGTTATACTGAGTGTCACTTATTTTTAGTGGAACACCCTATATATTATTTTATTTTTAGATTCTACCTAAAATTCTATATTCAGGTCATGTATCCAGTTGCACTATTTTGCATTGCTTCCCCTTTCAACGGCGCTTGGGTTGAAGCTTGCTCTCAATGTAGCAGGGGATGTGGAAGGAACGATTCGAGGATATTTCGGAACAATTAAGGGTAACTTTTTTAATCTCATGGGCACCAAGGAGCAGGTCCGTAATTTTCTTGTAAACATTGAAAGACTCCGAGGGTAACGTGGCGGTCAGAAAACGTTTTTAATTCGCAGGGGCCCGTACATGGGGATTGAATTTCTTGAAGGGGGGAGTGGTCAGGTGGGCAGTAGATCTCGCAACGGCAAATTTTCCATTTTCCAGGAAATTTCTTCGATAGGTATGCTTGCACGATTAGGGCGTTGTAAACCGTTGCACCATCCTGCTGAAACCAATAGTTTCGAACTTTTTTTTTGCTGTACCGTATACTGTTGTATTCGTAATAAAAAATGCTACTCAATACAGTGTGTACTTTTTTTGCAGGGCATATCAAAAATAAAGTCGATGATTTCCCCAAAACGAAATGTTGTCACTGGTGTCTTGTAGAGCTCAATAAGTAGCAATGAGAAAGGCTTTTTAATTGAATTGAATTTTAAATTTTTTGTAGAATTTTTTCACAGATTCGAACTGAATTTTTACTGATATTTTGGTTTCGTAATCATAACATTTTTCTAAGAATTAAAAGATTTTTCTAGGATTTTTTTTCTCACATTCACACTGAATTTTCTTTCGAAAATGCAATATTTTTGTCTTGTAATCATGATATATTTTTCTCGAATTTTATCACAGATTACAACTGAATTTTGACTGGAATTTTGCAATATTTTTGTTCCGTAATCTTGATATATGTTCAGAGAATTGCAAGGGTTTTCTAGAATTGTCTCGAAACTGCAATACTTTTGTCTCGAAATCATGAGATATTTTTCTCAGAATTACAACATTTTTAGAATTTTTTTCTCAGACAAACTGAATGTTGGCTCGTAATTCTGTAATTTGTTGGCTCGTAATTGGAGATTTTATTCTCAGACTTACAAGATTTTTCTAAGAATTTTTTGCAAACTCAAAGCTAATTTTTGCTTGAAATTCTGCAATAATAATAATAATAATACTTCTTTATTTCTTACTATATACAAATGAAGTCTTTTCAATGCATAAGAAGAAATACGTCCTAATGTATTACATTTACCTACTATTCTAAAAAAATTCGTTAATGGAATAGGGTTCCATGTTTATTAAAAATTGTTTTAATCTTCATTTCATTGATTTGTAGTAGGTGCCCCTTCTAAAATATTTTTGTGTTGTTATCATGATATATATTTTTATTATATTATATATTTATTTATTTTTAAATTTTTCTAGAATGTTTCATAGATTCGAACTGCATTCTACTGACATTTCTGCAATATGTGTGTTTCATAACCATGATATACTTTTCTTTTCTTTTCTTTCTTCTTTTACTATTAGAAGATTTTTAGAATTTATTTGTTAGACAAACTGAATTTTTACTGTTAATTCTACAATATTTTTCTAGAATTTATCCTCAGACTGATACTGATTTTTTTCTTTCAGACTTCTTATAATTACTTTTACATAATAAACATTATTATTAAACTGAATTTTTGTTCAAAATTCTGCAATTACAATTTCTTTTTTCAGATTCATTCTGAATTTGTTCATTTTTCTCATAATTACAAGATGTTTAACGCATTTTTTAAGAATTAAAAAAATGTGCTAGATCTACTTCTGTGGGTTTGAACTACTTTTAGGAGAATGGTCTCGTCCTGGAATTTTTTGCAATAGGTAGCCTATACGGCCAGGCGGCCATCACATATTGTTAACTTTAATTGTGAGGGGGTTTATGAATGAATTATTTTCTAAGATGTTGTTTTTGAAATGCGTCACCCACGACAACCAAATAGTCAGAGATCTGGAATACGGATGCTTGCATGCTTTTAGTGGTGACAAGTAAAACTTTGGGAAATGGGGGGGGGGGAGGTTCTACCCTTCATGGTACTCTAATGAAAAGTCTCAACGAAAGGAATTAATTTCTGCTCTACCCCTTATCATGGTGATGGTTACAATTCCTTATATTTCAAGAGCGGGTTGTCGGAGGAAGAAACTCACAAAGGGCGATTGGGACGTCTGGAAGAAATATATTCATTGGTGATGGCAAAACTGTAACATCGAATATCTCAAAAAACAGTTTGTGGGAGGGGAGTACTTACAAAAGCAAAATGCATCATCTGGACGAGACATGAAGTCAAAACGAATATCTTGAAAATGAAGTGTCTGAAGAGGGTATTCATAAAAGGCAAGTAGCACGTCTGAATGAGACACATCTACTCGTAATGTCATCTTTCTTCAAAATTAAAAGATTTTCTTCCACAATTCTGGGACGACATGGTAAAACGCTCAACTCAGACATTGGGATTTATTATTCGTTCAAACTCCGCTTTTACCGATACGTATACCATGAAGGCTCTCTACACATCCTTGGTTAGGAGCAAATTAGAGTATGGGGCGTTGATTTGGTACCCCCTGTATGTAAAATACGATGAAGCAATTGAATACATCCAGCGGCGTCTTGTTAAATACTTATGCTACAAGAAAGATGGAGTCTATCCACCCAGGGGATTTTCTCAGCAGATAATGTGTGAACGGTTTGAGCTGCTGCCCCTTAAAACTAGAAGAAAACGTCTCTGCCTATCATTTCTCTATAATATCTTAAATAATAAAATTGATTGCCCGTCTGTGCTCGGGAAAATTGGATTCTGCGTCCCACGTTTGTCCTCAAGATGCCCAGCACCATTTTACCTACCAAGATGTAAGACCAATGTGCTTCAGAGATCTCCAGTGCATTTAATCTGCTCATTATTTAATGACTTATCCACGCCAGTAGACGTTTTTCATGAAGGTTTGGGTCGGTTGTTGCAATCATTAGAGTTATAATTTATTTTCTTTATTAATATCTTGAAGTGTTTTTTTTTTTTAAATTAATTACTAAACTACTCGCATGTACTTTTGATTTTGCAATTTTTTGGAATATTGTCCTGTTATTGAGTATATATTTACTTGTTTGGATAATAAATATTATTATTATTATTATTTTTATGTCCTCTGCATTCAGAGATTTTTTCTTGAATTTCTGGCAGTTTTCCAGAATTCCGCGGTTTTGAATACAATTTCGGATTCGAAATCGCCGAATTTTCTAGAAAAATTAGCATTTTTAGGAATCGCAGAATAATACAATAAAAAATGACGCTAGAGAGCTCGGGAAAGGCGTGTTCAGAAGAGCACCCAGAGCATTCTCACGCATAAGTGATTTTGAGAGTCTTCCAGATCCTGTCCAGAATTTCCTGGGTCCTTAAATGCGCTTTTCAGAGCAGTCTAAGCTTTTCACGAATAATCGGAATCTGTGTTACGAATAAAATTGTTACTGGTGTAGTGTTAGAAAAAAGAAAACCGCGAGTTACAGTTACTGCTTCTGTTCCAGAATCAAGGGCAGTGATGCCTCCTGGAAGGGAGATAATGAAGTACCAGTTGAATTTGTCGATTTTTCGGATGACGAGACGGAGTACACATTCTCAAAGCAGCACCTCAATGAGAAGGACATCTTCGACAAGAAACGCAAGAGAAACAGCTTTGAAAAGCACCGGATGTTCGAAACGGCTATGAATCTCAAGAATAAAGTGGACACGGCACGTCACAAAATGCGCGATTCGTACGAGCCGACACCAAAACGATATGTACCGCAAACCACTCAGCCCACTTTCTACTTCGCCCCACCCAACATCAACCAAGTTCGTCAGCAGTGCAGTTCTAGCTTTACAAATTTCCCGCCGCCGAGCTACCCGATTCCGCCTCCGAATTTCGGCTACATGAGCATGGGACCGGCCGTGCTTCGCATGCAACCCTACAATGCGCAATTCGGGCACCCAATGCCGCCATTTCCCCCGAACACCCAACCGTTTGTGCCATCCACGTTCGGACCCCCGAATATACCGCCCCTTCCGGGCGTGCCCCACGTATTACCGCAGCCCCCGCCTCCCGGCGGCTACCCGGTGACCCTGCCGGTAATCCCGCCGCCGATAATGAACGTACCTAAGCCGCCGATGACCAAGATTGTAAAACCCCTAAAATCCAATCCGAACGGTGGTGGGGTGGTACCGAAGACGCAGCCGGCGCGTAGCTCGAAAGTCTACGTGCCATCGTCTAGCGAATATCAGCCGCTCTACCCGCCCAACTTAGGTCTTCCGAAAGCTCCAATACCTCCTTTCAATTCGAACCCCCCGCTAACGATGGCGACGACCATCCCACCAAATTTCTGTCCTCCAATGCCGCCTTGGGCGTTCAACGTGGCGAGACCTCAGCACAGCAGTAGAGGTTTTCAGCCTCATTTTAACGCGAGAAGTCGACCATTTCAGAAACAGTGATCGGTTCAGCTTGTTGTTTGTTGTTATTTTATCTTTTTATTATTATTGTTAATTTTCGTTTTCAAATTGTATACAGCAGTATTAGAAAAGAGAATCTGCTTAAATTACGTGTATATTTGCATTACCAAGGTAGAAGAAAACTGAATGTTTCTAATTTCCTTTTTTCGTAAAGAAGAAGAAAAACAAAAAAGAAATGGGAATGTGTTTGATTTTGTGTAAGTATATTAACTCGCAGCTCCGGTGTTACTCAATGCTTAAAAGATTATGCACAAGAAAGATGTGTGACACTTAGAATTTTCATAATCTTGATGTTTAGCAACTACAAAATGTTTTTAGAGTTATGTACGTACACATTTGTTAGATTATATGGGATTTTCATTTACACAGTGACGATGTATTTACAAAGAATTTGAAATTATAGAAATGTTCCTTTTCAACAACTAATATTTTTTATTACATACTGTGTATTCCAATAAATATTTTTATTAAGAAGTAGAATTTATTTCGTATTAATATTTGTATAACTATAATCGATATTGATATGTTATAACTTTCATCTTATTAAAAAATCATTTTGCCACTGCTCGCTCAATTATTCATTACGAGATGCACTTATCATTTGCCGCAATTGGTATACATGTTTTGAGTTTTGTAGTAGTACACCGATGCTCATAATCACTTTTTAGTTAACAACTCAATGTCAAATGGTCGGTACCGAGCAAATGTACGAATTTACTTATATTTATATAATTAATAAATGGTCAACAATAGCACTAATTATTGACTTTGGAAATAACAGTTTATTTCATCATCAGCCTGCGATTATGAAATGCATATGTGAAAATCGTTTACTTTACAGCGCCCCCTACCAGAAATGCCAAAGTTGAATTACACGAGGTTTATGGTTTATATTTTTATGTAATTCAATAGTAGCTGACAAATTCAAAGGGGATACCAGCTCTCTGATCACTTTCCGAAGACATCTTTAGAACTGTTAGAAAGTATTTCCCGTCGACGAAGATACATAAGTAGATATTACCTGGAAGATTGTCAACCAATCACCTTACACATCCTCGAGAATCCCAGCAACTCTGCATTAGCAGAACGTTATTATTTCACCACGAGTTTTTAGGGGAAAACCCTTTGCGGAAAGGAACATAAGGTATTGTGCCATTTATATAATAATCGCATGCCGTTTGAGTATGATTAGGTTTTGTAAGAACGGAATAATTGTCTTCTAATTTTTTGTGTTGTAGTCCACAGTTGATAATTGTGCGTAGTAGTATTTTTTACCCATCTGTCATTTAAATTAGTTGTTGCACTTACGGATCAAACTGCTATTTAATCTCCATTTTTAGGGGTTGTTCATTTGCTCCCCAGCGATTAAATTAAATTTTCATTTAATCCCTTGAATTAAAACATAATCTATGTTGTCAAGAGTGCGCTGCTCGAGTAAGAAGAGATGCAACTGTCATAAGTTAAGTGTTCTGCGACCCTACAATTCCTGCTTTTTGTGTTATGTGTTCTTAATAAATATCACTGCGTGTAAACCACAGCGTTATCATGAAAACTTGCGAGAAGCAATCTGAAGTCCTTCTAAAATAGTGTTCTGTATACATATACCATGTACAATTCTGGTAAATTTAAAAATGATGCAATGATTTGTGACGAGAACTTTTATTTGCCAGAAATAGATAAAGTATAATTTTTAAGGCTGTAGAAATTCTCAAGAAAATATGTTGCTATTGATAATGTAAGAATTTATCTGGATGATTGCGGTCAACGGGATCTGCGTCATTTCTGCATATTCATTTTGTGTTCGTTAATTACATTAGCCGTCAAGGTAGTGAGAGTACAGCTCAAATTACAGCCTTTTAATGAAGATATTAGGTTTAGTTTCTTAGCTCGGTGCGATAAAACCCACGGATATTGCTGTATATGCAGCTTTAAATGCATAAGAGGTACTTGACCTTAAAATCTATCTGGGATTGGTAGTATAAAAGAAATTAACCAATTAAAAATTAAATATTGCCATTTTGGAAGATAATTGATTGAATTGATAATTGAAGAATGTTATATTTTTTGTGAGTTTCTATCTTTGATTTTGAAGTTCACTGGATTTAACCTTAATGCAGATTCTCATGCATTTGATACCGTTAACCTTTTGTATGAAATCGCGTTCATTTTTGGTATAATGATTGCTCAGTTGGCGGCGGTCACTTCGAAAAAATTACGGCGGGAATGAAAGCAACAAAACACAAATTTATTAGCGGTATCTACGGGAAAGCAAATGCAGGAAAGCGAAACGATAATTAATGGAACAGGAACAGCTTAACTTGCAATAAAACAAAGCGGTAGGAAGTGCTGTGATAGAAAAAAAAATCTGGTAGATACGGTAGGTCAACTTAATGTGAAAGCAAAAATTAAACGGGACGCATACAAAATAAATTTACGGAAAAGGTCAAAATTGCGATACATAACTTGCGAAAATTCAAAAGATCGATGATTTAAGTAGGGTATGGTTGCCAAAGTAAACTTACAGAAAAGCTCAAAAAGTACCATACTTGCGAACGTAACTTGAAAAGGCAAAAGATCCCGTCTAAATTTAGCGTGTATCTTATTTAAACTTCCCAAAATACGGAGAGGGAACGTACGAAATTCAGGACCGGCCGGCGTAATCGGTTAATAATATCCAAAAATTAAAACTTTAATTTATTGTGCGGCCTGCTGACGTCCTAAAAATCCGTAATTGGTTTTAAAATTCAAATTAATTAGGGGCGCTTCTTTTGAGCCCCTCGCGACTTAATCGGATGCTGTTTACTGCAACACATTTATAGCTATTGTTAATTGCACTTACTTAATTGACCGGATTGGAATTTTTCAAAACTGATATCGGCGTAAACCTACATGGCTTTGCAATTTTAATTTACCATAGGAAACAAAATCCTGCTAATTACTTAAAAAAAGAATTGAAATTCTAAAATATTAATTTGCCCTCTTCTAAATGGCAAGAGCGTTCGGACGTAATAAAGATAATTGAAATAACTTGATGGGAACGGTTACAAACGGCGAATTAATTACAGCTTTTGTTTATGGTAACGGCGTCTGACACACAACTTAGAAATTACATCAATTAGGTACTTTTAAGTACCTTCTATCTTCAACTCCTAGAATCAACATAAATACTTTCGGCACACTTTTCGTAACGAAGCACCCAACTTAAAATGTTGCCTGGTACCGGGTATTCATCTACAGATGATCACTAAAACTGGTAACTTGAAGGCGGAAAACGAGTGCTTCGTTACAAATTGACGAAAGTTCCTAGTCAATAAGGACATTAAAACAACCCCTGACGATTCTTTATCTTCAACATTTTCCCAGGAGTCTCAAATTGCATGGCGATTCTAAGACAGCAACCGTTCTCAGCCCTCTGTCCAGCCTATATCTGTTAATCATAAGCCCTTTTTCCATTGACAGCAAAGCCGAGTTCGTTATAGGTCAGAGGGCAAACGTTCATTTCAAGAAACGTTAACAAAAAAGATATCGTAGTCTTTGTTTTATATAGCCATTGTAAATCTATCATTGAATCCGTTTGGTAAAGCAAAAATGTTAAAAATTGTTTATTATATGTTAGGAAAAAAGCTTGATATTAAATTTTTAACATTTTGGTATAGTAGGCGTTGACAAACTGTCAAAATAATTTATTGATGGTTCCTTTAAATGACATACCTATAATAAAAAATCATATTTGTGCTATACATAATTGTATTCGTAATAACAAATGCTACTCAATATAGATGTGCCTACTTTGTTCCGGTTCATATAAAAATATGAAGTTGGTGATGGTTTCTCAAAGCCGAAACGTAGCAGTCTCGGAATGTCATTTGTTTTTTAACATCTTGTCAAACAGGATCAGAAAAAATAAAATCGAATATGATTAATTTAGGTTTTTTTAGAATATTTTCGGAACTGATCGGAATTCCGAATAATTTTACTAAGCCCTAAAGTACCCAACTTTTTTCTAATTTAACCGAGACTGTCTATACCACTGGAACTGAAGTGCCATTTATTCTCACCTGTGAAATTTTATTTCCCGAGCAAGTTATTTATAGAGTTTCACTTGAGGCTGATTCGGCGTTAAGGACCAATAAATATCAAAAGTAATGATTATTGATTGCTGTTTGAGTGCGATACGATTGGGTCGCAGAAACGTGAATTATAACTATTTCGCGCCATGAACAACAAACGGTTAGCCAACAACTCCAGTTACGTCGCTCAGGTTTTCAAGTTAACAGCTTTTCGCCGATCGCGTTTCCGACATGCTCGATATAATAAAACAGTTTTCAAGTAATTAATTTCTGTGCTGATATGGAATTTCACTTAATGAGCGGTGAGTTTGAAACACTATACCAATTTAAAAGTATAAGGTCAACATATTATGTAACTGCCATTTTCCCTCCAAAACTGAGCGAAGATATGTATGATTAAACTCCTACCTTGCATCCTAATTATCATCAGGCCACTCTTCCGGAAAGTTTCCAAGGTTTTCTAAAGTGACGATAATTTTGAAAACGATTGCGTTACTGCTCGCCAACGCTTTTCTCTTACAGTAATTGAAATTTCTTCAAACGCTCTTTTTGTAATGCCCCAACTTATAAAAAGTTAAGTGAAATTAGTTGCGCGTAGTACCTTTTTAAAACCACCCAAATCGACGACCCTTGAGATTAAGTTATTTTTAAGCGGCAATTAGGTCTAAAAGATAATGAAGTAATTTAATTAATCCAATTGTAAGGATAATTTATACTGTCGTTTGCGGTTCGGTAATTACACTCATTGGAGAGTATGGCTTGATCTTGATCACAATCATAGCTACCAATTAGAACTTCTAATTAACTTATACTACCCTTTCATTTTAATGGACTTATTTTAGTCGGCGGCCCACGATTGATTTTATTACATCGTCATATAAATGTGAAACACCGAAGGGCGATTTTTCACACCTATTTATACGTCTATTTTTAGAGAACGATTTTATTGCTGGGCGACTTAATTTCTTTTCCCCATATACAAGTGAATCGATTTTTCTATATTTGGCGCATTTATTTTTGCGTTACACGAAAATTGCGCGTTTCAGATCCGTAGGTGTACTAAGTTTTGGCCGGGGGTGAAATAAGCAGATGACAGGATTGACTGGCAAGTGCTCATTTTTAGGCCATTTTACTGTCACTTCACACTCTCAGTCGCCGAATTTAAACTTTGCAAGCTCATCATCCTTATATTACATAAGTTACATGAGTAGATCCAAGGTACTCATTTATTAATGAGGAATCAAAAAATTCCATTCAATAAGTGCCCATTTTTTGTTCATTTCTGGTTTCTTTTTTTTTGCTTGGTTGCACTATGCGCCTTTTTCACATATTTCGGTTTTTCACTTTCTCTTAGTGACATCCTATATCCGTATCCGTATAAAACGCGGCGCTTGAGGAAATGGTCTCACAGGTAATCATTTAATCGATGGAATTTTTTTCACATTTGCGTTATTTTTACACGTTTTATTGCTTTTTATCGCCAAACATACTT